TAGAAGAGGCAGGAGTTTTGTAAATGAGCTATAAAGGGTCATGAGCCTCATAGCCCAGCACCCTTGAGCATAGGCTTTTTCCTCAGCTCACTAGCCTACTCCAGTTCTTGGGAGTGCTTTAGCTTTCTTAATACACCATCTCTATTTTTATGTCTCTGGTCTTATTCTTTTTCTGGGACATGAGAACCTGTATACATTAGGTACCTTGAAACACAGATCCACCCTTATAATAGCATAATCAACATGGAAGAAAGCCCGGATGACCAGGCACAGAGTGGCCTCCCAGCTGTCCCTATGGCAGGAGAGTAGCATGAAGTGTTAGGTCATAAGGTAGGTACATAGAAACCTCGGGGTAGGGAGGAATTGTGGAACACCACAACTGCCACCTCCACGGCTGACATGTAACAGAACATGTGTAGACATTGGTATATAAAAGCCCCAGTCCTTGGTACGGCATTTGCCATTCAGCTTCTGACAGTCTCTCAACTCCAGCCCCTTTCTTCTTCTGGTAGTCTTGTCTGTCCTGTCTCTCTCTCTCCCTCCCTCCCTCCCTCCCTCCCTCCCTCCCTCCCTCCCTCCCTTTTTTCCCTTTCCTTTCCTTACCATTCCTTTCCTTTCCTCTCCTCTCCTCTCATCTCCTCTTCTCTCCTTTCCTTCCTTCCTTTCTTTCTGAGTGTGAATTTGATGTATGTACACATCTATTTGTGAGTGCATTGCACAGGCCAGTAAAGGATGTTACGTATCTTTTTGTATCACTGACTGCCTTATTCCTTTGAGACGGGATCTCTCAGAAAACTATGCTGGCCTGGCAACCAGCAAGCCACACTGATTTTCCTGCCTGAATGTTTCACTGTGCTGGAATTACAGGTATAGTCATACCTGCGTTTGCTGTTATTGTTTTAACATGAGTTCTGAGGATCTGAACTCACGTCATCTTGTTTATGCTACAGTATTCTTACTACTGATCCATTTTCTCAGCCTGTGTATTCTCTTCTAATAACCTGTTTCTGCTTCTGCTACAGTTCCTGTCTCTCTTCCTGTCTGTGGTGGTTTAAATGAGAATCGTCCCCATAGGCTCATATATTTGAATACTTGGTCCCCATTTGGTGGAACTATTTGGGAAGCGGTAAGACATAAAGCCTTGTGGGTAGAAGCATGTCACCTGGGTGGGTTTTGAGCTCTCAAAAACCCATGCCATCCCAGTTCCCTTGCTTTCTGTCTCATGGTTATGTCTCATGATGCAAGCTCTCAGTTATCCCCAGTCTCATGTCTACCTGCTGCCATGGTCTACACAATGGTGGTCTTGGGTTCTAACTCCCTGGAACTTCAAATTAAATGTTTTCTTTTATAAGTTGACTTGATTATAGTGTTTTTGTCATGGAAATAAAAAAGTGACTAGTACACTATATAATTCTTATTCTACATTACAAGCACCTAGGAATTCCAGCAGGTACACAATGGACTGCAATATCTGCTGATAACACCCCCTCAGGGGCATCTTTTCAGACTCCAAGTAAATACTCAATACCACATGTATTATCAAAGCCTATAAAACATTGTTTCCCCCTCTATACACAGATATGATAACATTAAATGTTAGCTACTAGGCACAGTAAGCTAACCATAAGCAAAAGCAAAATAATTACAATATGCTAGCTTTGTCCAGGGACCATACTTTAGCCTCTGAGGTTTGTCTGATAACAAGTCTATCAACTGATAACAAGAATCAGAATGTTAATCAACACTCTACAATTACTGGACTCTGACTTTTCACTTTGCCTGGCAGCAGCAGACTCAGATTTACTGCTCAGAGGATAAAAAGCTAATTTCCAGTATTTTACATCAAAAGTCCTGAAGGGTGTGTGGAGTGATTCCAGGAGATTCTTTTGGGAGGGCCTGAGGATGTTGGTGGGGGGAGCAGCTGCCTAAAACCCAGACCACTTCTCTTTTTCCCGTGATAGCAATGGGGTTGTGATGTGGGAGTGATTTCTTAATAATAAAGAAACTGCCTCGGCCCTCATAGGACAGAAAATTAGGTAGGCGGAGTAGACAGAAGAGAATTCTGGGAGAAAGAAGCTTAATGGAAGAGTCGCCATGATTCTCCCGCTCCAGACAGACACAGGTTAAGATCCTCTCTGGTAAGCCAGCTCATGGGCTACACAGAATATTAGAAATGGGTTAGAACAATATGTAAGAGCTAGCCAATAAGAAACTGGACCTAGCCGGACCAGGCAGTGTTTGAAAGAATACAATTTCCGTGTAATTATTTCTGGGTATAAACTAGCCATGCGGGCGGCCGGGTGCTGGGGACACAGCCCTGCCGCTCCTATTTCAACAGGGTTGCCTACATCAACAACTCTCAGAATCAAATCCTGAATGAGTCATGGTGACAAAAGTAGGCAAAGAGCCTCGGTTAGTAGCGACTTGGGAACAGTCATTAAAAACCTGCTTACCATTCAGGGAGTGTGTGATTGATAACCTCATAAAGAAATCCAACTGCAATGTTCTTCCAGGGCTGTCAGGACTTGAATAATTCAATACTAGCTAGGGTGGGCTGGGGTTGTGGAGGAGATAACAAGGGAGGAATCAAGACCACCTTTGGATTTTAGAGTATGTTGAAGGCTTCCTGCCCTCACCCCATCAGAGGCTTGGAGGAGTCTTTGTAGCAAACAGAGTAAATGAAGAGTAACTTAGGCACCTAGGTGCATCGAGGGCTCTCCCTTGCACAACAGTGTAGGTACTGGAAAGATTTGATGGGAAAGTCAAAACTTACTGCTCACAAAGCCAGAGTAGAACAGTGTGTAGGTTTGAAGTTTGTGTGACTCTAGGTTGAGAACTAGAGGATGTTGGATCTTCTTTCTGCAGGAGGTGTGTGTGTGTGTGCGTGTGTGTGTGTGTGTTTTCTGATACTCTTCAGTGTTTAAACACTTAGAGCCCTTTTCTACAGTTAGGGCAACAAGACCCAAAAAGACTTCTCTAAATGATGCACAGACCTGAAAAGTTAATCCTTTGGACCCATGAACAGGTTGGGGACGATGTTCAGAATGCTTTTCTGTTTCTAGTCTTTCCCTTATGTGTCCTCCCATCACACAACTCTATGCTCAGCTCACACAAATCTACCCAAAGACACATGATGCTAGCTACCGACTTCTGCTTTGCCCACTTAGTCTCCTGTGGCAGGAATGCTTTCTCCCCGAGACTCACAGCTATAATATTCTCTGCCAGTTCCCTGTTTTGAAAATTCTATGCTACTGCACAGTGGAAGCATGTGTTCCCACCTTCTGTGCTTCAAAGTTGCCTAATTCAGCTCAGTACTGTTCTTCCAATGTAGGCCATCATTTGTCTTGCCTATCAGACAGATCATGGAATCCCATGGGATTATGAGTTTCTGAGTTGTTCTATGTTCACCATGGAAATTTCTCTTATGTATTAGAAGCCTAGAATTATATAAAATTATCAGAGAACAAGATTGTGAGTGAGCAACCGAGGAAAGGGTACCTGGTCAGCTGCACTCAAAGCCCAGGGAATATTTTTGAGCAAAATAGTTTCATTAACTCATTTAAATCAGTCCAGATAATACATCCTTGGCTTTGAAGAGAGTCTTCACTCAAAACTGAGAGAAAAGAGCAAGTCTTGGTCCTGGCTGCCTCTCAGGCAGAACAGCTAGCTAAGAAACAAATGGGACCCAGGAAGGAAAGGACACCTCACTCTCACTCACTCCCATGGTTCTGATTTCTGACTCATATCATGGACACCCAGAAGTTTCCCACATAACTGACCAGACCACCTGTAAAAGGAACTGTACACGCATTTCTACAAAGCACAAACAAGCTTGCTAAAAACCAGTCAGTGTGGGATTTTGAGATGGCTCAGCAGACAAGGTGATTATCACCATGACTGATGATCTGAGTTTGAACCTCAGGACCCAGAACAAAGAAAACAGACTGCTACAAGCTGTCCTCTAATGGCCTCTAATGCCCAGATGACATCTTGGCATGTGTGTCCATACACATGTATGCAAGTGAATGCACGTATACATACACACACAAATAACATAGATATAAGGAAGTAAATACATAAATAAATGTAATTAAAATAGTTTTAGTAGTTAACCTATAGCCATGGAGGCTGCTCAGTGGGTAAAGCACTTTCAATACAAGCCTGACCCCTAGAACTCTATAAAGCCAGATGCAGGAGTGCATTCCTTGAACCCCAGCACTATGGAGACAACTGTGTCCCTAAAAGGTCATGCACACTTATTATATGTAGAGGCTGAGAAAGAAACTCTCTCTAACAAGGTAGATGGTGAGAAACTGATACCTGATCTGTCCTTTGACCTTCACATGTGATCAATGGCACATGAATGTACACACACACACACACACGCACGCGCACGCACACACGATAGAGAGAGAGAGAGAGAGAGAGAGAGAGAGAGAGAGAGAGAGAGAAAGAGAGAGAGAGAGAGAGACAATAGAGAGGAGAGTTTTCAAATTGGCTCGTGGACTATGCCTAAAGTCCAGTCTCCTTTGTCCTATATATAAGTAAGGATTCTCCCTGATAAATATTTTATATCTAGCATCTCTCTTCCACCTGCAACATATCTAAGACTGGCTCTATGCTGAAAAAATTCTGTGGGTAAGAAAAAAAAATATACCAATGCTTACTTCCTCTGATACATCAATTTAACTGCATATCAAGCAAGCCTGAGGCTCCTCGCACCTCATGTACAGCTACTGATGACAATATTACTGCACCTGACTCTCTTTGGGGTCCTATTGTCTTTCTACTTAATCAATAAAATCCCTCGCTTGAGTTCACTCTGACTTGTCATTCAGTTCTGTGAGATGTGTACTGAAACTGAAGCCCCTGAGCCTGAGGGAGACTTCTCAGTCAATACCTGTGATTCCTGCTGCTAGTGACAACCTCACGGATGGACTTGTAAAAGCCAGAGCACCTTGCTTCCTCTCCTCCCGCAGTCTCTCCAGTTCAGTCCTTACCTGGTCCACAGGTGAGCAGGAGACTGGCAGCCAGAGTCAGCAGGGGCCAGCATCGATGCACAGAGTACGCTAGTCCCTCCTTTCCCATCCTCCTGCTCCTTTGTGCTGTGCTCTGCTTCTTACTCCTGTGAGTGAGTCCCTGAGACTGATCCCAGCCTAACCTGGCCCCTGTTTAACTTCACGGAAGGTGGCGAGGACACACCTTGCTAGGTTTCCCAGGCGGGGCAGAGCCTGCCCTAGGGGAATGCAATGATTACCATATCTGGCAAAGGTCATTTAGCATTATCCAGAGCCCATACTTTGACTAATACCTTACAGACCAATACAAGACCCAGGGTAGCCACAACCCCTAACAAAACTTGACACCTGGGCAAAGCCAAGATGTCTACACTAATCTATCGGAGTATGAAGGAAGACAGAGGACCCTCTGGTACACATCTATCCTTTTTAATTTTTTCCCACATTCTGCCTGACATCCTTGTTGAGAGCCTGGTACCACCAGACAGGACTGGGGTGGACCCTCCCCTGGGGAAGGTTCTACTCCTCCAGAGTGCAGTTTGGTATGTGTAGGAGTGCAGAGGAGGCAGCATTCCTGTGTGGGAACTCCCTAGTTGCTGGGAGAGATGAAGACTGAGCTTCTTAGCAGCCCCAAACCATTACCCTGCTTTCTTTTTCCCCACTATAGGAATTGCAATGTATCACTTCTAAGTCAAGATGCTCAGCTACTGCTGAGAGATAAGAAGGGTACAAAGTGCTGTAAGAATTCAGCAAGAGGGGCTGGAGATAGAGCTTAGTGTGGTAAGAGCCCCAGCTACTTTTCCAGATGACCGAAGCTGAATTACAAGCACTTATACAGTGGCTAATAAGCACCTGTAGCTCCAGTTCCAGGAGCTCCGACACCCTTCACCTCCATGGACAACAGGCACACAGTGGTGCACAGACACACCTGCAGACAAATATATATATATATATGCACACAAATCAAATAAATACAAAACTAAAAAAAAAACAGAATTCAATAAGAGGTTTGAGGTTCTGACTCTTATTCACAAGACCAGATGTAGTGCACACCACTACAGCACCATGTGTGTGCACACAGAGTACAGATATACTGCACACCACTACAGTACTGTGTGTGCACACAGAGAGTACAGATGTACTACACACCACTATAGCACCATCTGTGAACACACAGAGAGTACAGATGTGCTTGGGCACACCACACCACCACAGCACCATATTCACCGTGAGTACAGCTCAGGGCTTTAGAGTTAGGTTTCCCTGCTTGCAACGCAAACATTATACTGATTTAGCTTTCTCTCCAGACTCCTCCCTCAATTTCCTATTAAAAATAAACTAGGGCAAGGAATGGGATCTCCTTGATCCTTCAGTCCTCACATCTGGGCACTTGGGAGATCTTTATCTCTCTAGCCTTCCACCAGCCAGTTGTGGTGGATTTAAGATCACCCATATCCAAGAAGTAGAGTGAAGGCAGGTGCTCAGGGTAACAGAGTTTGGGATTCAGGCCCTCATGTCCCTCTTATATCTTGTATCTGGAACTAAACTCCATAAACCTACAGATGGTACAAGTTTATCAATAACCTCCACCTCCCACCCCTGTGGTCACCATCCTATTGGCAATTTCCTGAAGACTGATCGACCCACCAGCCTGCATGCCCTACTTATGCCACTTTTAAAATAAACACATTTTGATACTCCCATCATACTCTGAACATACATCTCAAGGGTGATGGACAAATGAAAACTGACAGGGGTGAACTGTAACCAGTAAGTCAGTATGAGACATCAGACTTGAATGTGGAAATAGGTGGAGAAGTGGGTCAGGCTTTCTGGAATAGGTGTCTCAGAGCCCAAGGTAGAAGGGTCAGCTGGAATTGGCTGTACCAGGGGAGGGGAGAGTAAGAAGGGGGTTTTCCAAAGAGAACACAGCAAGGGGAGGTAGTGGAAAGGAAGAGCAAAAGTTGAGCTTGACTTGTGTCTGATCTTTTCAGTTCAGTCCCTTCCAAGGTGTTCCCCACCTAAGAAAAGCAAACACAGAGAAACAGAAGCCAAGCCATTGCTTCCCCAAGCTCCAGCATTGCGGAGTTTCCACAGTTCTAGTACTTTTTCTAGGAATCACAAGCCTCTCATGCATCATCAGCCATGAGGCCCAGGTTCAAATGCTGTACTGCCTTTGTAAAAGTGGAAACAGGAACCTGGTTCAGTTCCCAGAACCTATTCAGGCAGTTCAGCCACTCTAGTTCTAATAGGTTTGATACCCTTGTCTGGCTTCCATGGTCATTTGACGTATGTACACATTCCCAGACACAGTCACAGACATAATTAAAAGTAAAATAAATCTTTAAAATAAAAAGCAAGCAGAGCAGGATTAGTGGGTTCAGTTTCGCTATAGGCAATCATAATTATTGTTTGTTGAGCACTTACTAGGTGATGTAAATAATTTCTAGTCATCACCAAGCTAGCATTTTTCCTCTTCCATAAGACAGATGTGTGAGGAGTATGGTGGTAGGATTGGGACCTCATACAAGCTAGGCACGTACTCTTCAACTGAGCCATATCTCTCTAGCCTCTCACTGGATGGCTCTAGAACAGAGCTCTGCCTGTCACTTACACTCCTAGCCTCTCACCAGGAAATTCTAGGCAATCATTCAAACGCATCAAAATTCTAGCATCTTAACACCCCACATGCTGTGGTTATAGGTAGCAACCATGATAGTCCCCCCACACACACCCTGTGTGTGTATGTGTGTTGAGTACAGATGTGAGTGCTGGTCTATGTGTGCATGCATGTGTGTGCATATGGAAGCAGAAGTATATTTCAGATGCCTTCCTTAATCACTCTCCACTTTAAATTCTTATCATTTAAGGACTTCATATGTGTGTGTGATATATTATGTTCAACCCCTTCCATGGAGTATATTTTAAGACACATGCCCCTTAAAGGATATCAAAAAATCTGGCCAGGAAGGAGATAAGGACTTCAAATGCATACATTGATACCGAGGTCAAAAAAGTTGTTTGCACCAAATGAATAAGGAAAGTTCCATAAGGTATCCATGTGTTTTTGTCTAGAAAACATAGAGAAAAAAGTATTCATCAAACAAACTCTGTACTTTATTATGCTAGGTCCCTGTTACCGCATTAAAAATTCTACTGTCTCTCTTAGTGATGAGGAAATCTCTAAGATCTGCGCTGTAAACAGAGTGGACTTCTCCAACCTTTTCCCACACCTCTAAATAAACTGTTTTGACAAAAAAAGAAACTACTATCTATGTGGATGAGAACTAACTTTTAATTGTCAAATCAAGTTATAAAACTGAAAAGAGAAAGAAAAAATACTCATAGTGTTATCATCCAATCAGCCAGAAAAGTAGATTTCAAAAACAAGGAAGTGAACCCCTCTCCCCACTTCAAATGCCACAGGCAAGGTGGAGTTAGAGGAAGCTCTGACGAATATACTGAAAAGTCTTATGAAGGGAGTTTCCGCAAAAGAATGAATGAGGGTCAGAATGTCAGGCAGAGAAGTCAAGAGAGAATGATGGAGGATCTGGAGAGAGCTTGAGTGCCAATCCCCATAGCAACAGTTATGACGACTGTAATAATGTTTACTGACCACTTCATTGGACGTGAGGCATCAGGGAACAAAATCGTACTAGGAGTCAAGGTCACCGACATTAAAAGACATTTACTTAATATTTCCTCCGAGCTACACCCTTCAAAAAACCTTCTGACTCACTGAGTTCCCAAGGTGTCTCTGTGAGGTTTTGCAATCATATATCCACGCAGAGGATATATAAAATTCAAGACTATGCAGTTGCTTTCTGAACTTGCATTCATATAATGCTCAAGGGCAGTAGGAGATGTACCTTGTTTGGCAGAGTGCTCAGCTTGCAGGCATGAAGCTCTGGATTCAACCCCAGCACTGCATAAACTGGGCATGGAGGTGCATACCAGAAATCCCAGTTTTAGAAAGTGGTGACAGAGAGATCGGAAATTCAAGCTTATCCTAACTACATAAACTACATAATGAGCTAAAGACCTGTCTGAGCTATAGGACAACTTGCCTACTATAAATAAATAAAAATATAAATAAATAAAAATATAAATAAATTAAAATATAAATAAATAAATAAATAAATAAATAAATAAATAAATAAATAAATAAAAAAAAAAATTAAGGGTAGGGGACAGAAGTCAGACAAGTGTATCTAGGTATAAAGAATCCTTTAGAAAATGATTATGAAGGAATTATCCAAAATAATAGTTCTCAAGTATAAACAACTGATTTCCTTCCAGATTCTAGGGGCATTTAGAGATGGTTTGAGACTTTCAGTAGGCAAACTGAGACAAGGGGAACATTAGTGGTATTTAGTGGATAGAGACCACGGCACAGGGATTAACGTCCTATAATGCAAACTACAACCTCTCATTTAAATGGCATTCTTAATTTAACATGAAATACCTTACTCCTTCTGTACTTCCAACCTTGTCCTGCTCCAATCTGTGGTCTCATTTTGCCCTCAAAACTCTCGAGAGAAGGGCTGGGGAGATGCTTCAGTTGGTAAAGTGCTTATTGTTCAAGCATGGGGACCTCAATTGATCTCCAGAATCCACTTAGAAAAATAATAAATAAATAAACAAATAAATAAATAAATAAATAGCTGATCATGGCAGTGTGTGTTTGTGGTCCTACTGGGAGAAATTATTTTTGCCAACACAGGGAAAGACAAAGTTACCACTTGCACCAGAATAACAGTTAAGTACTCTTACTGCTCTATTCTGCTTTCTAGTGTAGTGCCAGGGCGGGCGTTGGGTTCTGGCATACTCTTTTCAGAACAGAAATTGCCTCACTGAGTCATTTTTACTTTGTTTCTGTGTTCCCTTGTGTGACACAGAAATTATTCTTTCTTTGTTTCCAACAAAGGTCACTGGGAATGCAGAGGCCGAATGATTCCTGGGGCTCACTGGCCAGATAGCCTAGCCCACCCAGAGGGGTTTGTCAAAAACAAGCAAAGAGCACAACAATGACAACATCCAATAAGGCGAGTGTGCAGAGATGGCTTGGTGGCTAATGCCACTGCTATGTAACTAGGAGAAGCTGAGCTTTGTTCCACAGAAGCCACATAAATGCTGGGTGGGCGTGGTGGCTTAGAAAGGCAGAGGTAGTGTGTGCTTTGAGTGATAATGCCCTCCTTCCCTCTATAAGTTTATATATTTGATTGCTTAGTTACCAGTTTGTGGAACTGTTTGGGAAAGATTAGGAGGTGGAGTCTTGTTTGAGAAGGTGTGTCATTAGGAGTGGGCTTTAAAGTTTCAAAAGCTCACACCCGCATATGTTTTCTCTGCCTTACTTGGAAATGAAAGTGCAATTTCTCAGCTACTGCTCCAGCACCATGCCTGCCTGCCTGCCTGCCTGCCTGCTACCATGCTCCTGGCATGATGGTCATGGATTTATCTTCTGAGACTATAAACCCTAATAAATTCTCTCTTCTATATGTTGCCTTGGTTGTGTTTTTTCATCATAGAAATATAAAAGTCACTAAAACAGATTGTATATCCCTAGAGCAAGTTGGCCAATGAGTTCAGGATTGGATTGACTGACCTTCCCTCAGTGGCTAAATTGAGATATTGAGAAGGATTGGCAGCATCAACTTCAGGCCTACAAATGCACCAATACACATGCACACCTCCCCACATCTCAGGATCTTCACAGCTAGTGTTCGCCTTTACTATCTATCTTCTTCCAGTCATTAACACCTTGAGATCTTTTCATGTTTTATTCATTTTGGCTTTCTGCAAACCTGTATCTTTCTCTCCTCAAGCATCCTCAAAACTTATCACCTCATCAGAGAGTTCTATTCTTTCTTTCTTCTCTACCTACTGTCTTCTTTACTTCCTCCCAGGCACACAC